GTTTTGGGGATAATGGCACACTTCGATTTCAAACCCGAATTTACGTCTTTGGCGATGTATTCTGCATTCCAATGTGCAAGTTTTCGCTGCCGTTGACCGCTGAACTTGTACGCGTAAACCTTTGCCTAGAAGCGGACTTTTCATTAGCACTAGAATACTACTCAATACTAAAGCGGACCCCTATGGAATCTCCACTATCTGGATACCTTGGTCAATTTACAATGCCAAAATGTGAGGCTATGACCCGACCATTATTTAGACCCTAATTGTAGACACATAATTGAGATGACGCCTTGTCAATGATAAAATGGATCAACTTGTATCGCCGTAGAATGCTTCAAAATCACCTCCATCGGGAGTCATATCCACAGCCCTCAGTCTATTTCGTAATACTTAGAATCGGCGGCTATCTTCAATACGAGTGGCAGTGAATTAACTTCTAGCAACACTAGGGGAAGGTTTGAGTTTAGTTTTTTTGGCCAGACTTAGGTCAAGGCGTAGATTTGAGCATGGGTTCAATGTTGGCGATAAGGTCAGTCAGGATCAACTGTCCCTTGATATCGCCCGCTTTTACTTCTCGTATGCCAGAGAAAAAAATTTTCCTATCTCTCACGCAGGTTGGATTCAATACCTTGCCCAAGTTATGTATTAGTTGATTGGTCATATATCTCGGACAAACTTTATATTAGTCAGTACTTCGTGAGCCCTTAGAACGGGCCACGCGGAAGATGTGCTCGACAAACACAGAAGCTATATGGGTTCGGCAGTCGTTATCGGAATGAACACTATAACGAATTTCAACACTCTGGGATGCTATGGTAGAGCCGGTTGGTAGCAGACGTAATGCACAACGAGAACCCTAGTGATTTGCTATATGAACGAGGGAGTGTAAAGTGGAGCGCAAAGGTGTAGTCTCGGTCGGGGCATCTACCAACGCCGTCCTTCGCCAGCTGTCTTTTTAACTGTATCTTGACACCGGGCCCAGGTAATGCAGGCAGATGTGGCGTAGAAGGGAGTGCGCTTAATGATGTGCAAGTCTAATCCTACTATAAACTGACTCATTCACAAGTCCCCTGTCTGCTCTCACCTCTCTATGAAGCACATAGTGGACATCGTCGGCAAAGTGGGTCGAATAGTCGATAATTCGTGTTAACTGTTTTTGTGCAGTTTTAGGTCTAAGTAATTGTATCCGCGCTTGCTACCAGACTTAGGTTTGTATACTGACATCTGCATTGCCTAGTACTGACAACAAGGGATTGTTCACAGGAACTGGGCTTGATAAGCGGGCTGCGTAGGACCGATATCCAGAAACACTTTGTCAATACCACCTCCATATCCACTGTTTATCCCATAAAATCTGGAAGCAATGAGTGTGCATGATAATGGGAGGTCAAATGTTACGGTTTCACTTGTGTATGATTTGCAGATGACAAGTGAGCGTGAAATGCCTATGCCTATTCCATTAGCCAGCACAAGCCATTCATAACCACGTTGTGATTTGAAATTCCTGCGGTTAGAACTCGTGTCTTATTTACGGAATCCCTGTAACCACTCCTTCCGTTTTACATGTAGTCTTAGCTGCCGCGCCTCCATTGCATTTGCATACTGAAATGCTGCCAGAAAGAGTATTGCTTTTGCGCGACTGAATGCCATGTTCCTTCTCGTGAAGTAATGCAGTGTCCGATTAACCTGGAAAAATCATGGGATTTTAAGGTAAACCTGTGGTAATTCAGCAATTGCAAACCAGTGTGACTCGAGTCTTGTCGGTAGTGTTTTCAGCATCACATGACAAAGTATTTGTTATAACCCGGAAGGAAGGTAGGACAGGAATAGAGCCGGTTCGGAGGACAAGCACTTTATTGGAACTTGCGGACAGGAGGGGGTTACAACTCGTAAGAAAGGTGTGCTATTTATATTGGCTCCCGTACGTTCTGGAACATTCCGTCCAATGACGTGCCAGCCGTCGAGGGCGTTCTAGCATGTTCCTACCCCGAGCGTGCAGGTCGCTGATTGGCCACCGCGTGCGCGATAGCCCCCCGGCGGAAACGTCTGGAATGTTCGGCCATCCATTGATTGGACCGCACACGTGAGCAAAACCACCACGCGTGCTCGGCGCTGCAGTGCGCGCCGGTCAGTCGTCTAACTTCACGCGTGACTCACGTCGCCGACTTGGTCCCCTGTTTAGCGCCTTAGGCCGTAGCTCTACGCCGCTTTCACTCTCCATAACACCTCCCGCTTTTGAAAGTTGGACCTCGTACCTCTTCTTCTTCGGGTCCAAAACCAGTTTCCTTGGCGGTTGCGTTCTTCTGCTACTTCTAAGAACGACGGGTAATGTTGTGTGACAGTCTACCCTGGGGGTTGGAACCTCAAAGTATCACACAATAGGTCGAGTGCCATTTGACTGGCTCTGGTGTGTCTAGTCCTGAGCTGATTTGCATGCCTCTTTATTTTTCCAGCTGCTGTCTCCACCTCGAACACAACACCTCTGGATTTTCTTATTATACCTTCTATCCAGGACTTCTCTCCGGCTTTGTAGTTGCGAGCAAACACCTCCTCTCCCTCGCGAAAGTAATGTTTTGTTGATTGTGGAACTCGAGCTTCCGGTTGTAGGTACTGTAATCGCGTATCCGGCTGTCGTCCCAATAACCGTTCGGCTGGTGTCTGGCCCCCAAGATCACTTTTTGGAGTTGTTCGATAGGCAAAGAGGAATGTGTTGAGATACTCCA